TGAGTAATCACGATAATTATAAGCTCAGGTATCTATTTACTGAGGCATTTGATAAGGGGAAAACAAAGCAAAAAAATAAAAATAAAAAAACACAAAAAAATACAGTCTGGGTTTCAAATCTGAAAGAAGCTTAAAGAGAGTTCATTTTAAAGTGAGTTCCACATATAGAAAACCGAGGTCCAGAGACGCCAAGTCATTTTAGTAAACTGGTTCACCTTTTCATTCATTCATTGAAATTATTATTATTATTGAATGTCTTCTCTATGCTGGATGCAAAGATAAAAGTCAGCAGAGTTCAAAGTCTAGGCCAAAGTTAGTCAGGAAAAGCAGCAGCACCCGGTAGCAGCTGAATCTAGAATACACTCACTGTTTTCCAGGGGGCACACAGTCTGCTAAGCCAGGTTTTCTCCCGTCTGCTTTTTGATAGGAAACACCTGGATTGCTGGTTCACGCTAAGAACAACAAGCCTGCCCTAGACCTCCTGAATCTGAAAGTATACCAAAGGGACCTGGGACTTCAGCTGAGTCTAATCACGAGGCACCAGCGAGCTTCACCTGCTGGCCAAGTGCAGTGACCTCCCACCTTTTACTGCCCTCTTTCAGTTGGTAAGCCCCTGATGCAATTGCCTTAAAAGTCATTTGTCTGATTTTTTAGGCAGGACACTATATCAGCATTTCTCAGTTCAGAGTCAGCAACAGAATTCTCTACTGAGCTTTAAAAACGCAGTAAAGAAGCCCTGGCCTCACTCAGACCAACTAGTCAGAATCTCTCCAATTGAGGCCCAGGGCTTTTTATTTTGTTCCAGTTCCACAGGGGATTTAGAAGAGCAGCAGCTTTGAGGACCACTGCCAACCTGGGTCCTTTCAGAACCCACAGGAAAGACCTCCCCGCACAATGAGGTAGGGAAGGCTCGGGATTACTTGTGGAGCCCATGTCCCATGGTGTCACAATTATCCTGATATGCAGTCTTTCCCATCATATGTCTGCCCAATATCATAGATTCACGCAGGGGAAAAAATCCACAGAGGAGTTACAAAGCAGACCACTATGGGACAGTGAGAGTCACAAATTTTCCATTAAGACAAAGCAAAACAAAGGAACCACTGGATCAATAATTGTCATGTTAGAATGTGTTTTCTCCACACCATTTTAGTCACAACACACCTCTGTCCCTCCTGCCATCTCACCCACATGCCTTTGTACTTGTTTGTACTACCGTTAAGGCTATTGTAATCACAGGATTGCATTATGTTCCGCTGCGCCTCATCTTCTTTGTCCATGGGCTTGGGACCTAGTGGAGGGTGGGGAGCTTGCCTCCAGGTGAAGCGCCCCACACCTGCACAGTCTGAAGATGCACAGATACTGAGTAAGTGCTTTGCAGCTGACACGGCCAACTTCTGGTCCGGATCTTTTCCTGCCTCCCCACAGGGCCTCCTATCTCACGCATGCCTATGGTGATGGGGATGTGATTCCAGAGACAGAAGAAAATAGACTTCCCCAAGTGGCAATGTCCTGGCATACTGACTTCTAGGAAACTCAAATTATTCAAGAGCAAAGAATATGGGAGATTATGTGGTGTTCCATTGGCAGCCTAACTCATTCTATCAAAGCTAATACTCTTCTAGTTTTTATAACGTGTGTTTCTCTCAAGGGTATCAGGAAATACTTTGACACTTTTCAAATGGACTCCAGTTCATCTTTTATTTTCTGTCCTGTGCTGAAATAAGGAGGAAGTTTAGAAGCAGGAGAAAATAAGCTCTCTCCTTGCAAGTAGATTCCTATGACACTACTAAAAAATCTGCATAGCAAGCTTCATGCTAATAGCTCTCAGTTATGCTTGCCTAATGACGCCCACATGCCTACAGATTTGTTATGAGCCCTCTTTGCTTCTCTTTTATTACTATGCTGTCCTTTTTTTCTTTTTCTTTCTTTTTTTATTAGTAATGCTTTGGACTCAACATGTAACTTGACAGGTAACTTAAAAAGAACACTCATAAAAAGTTCTTTTCTCAACAAGATCAAGATTGTTTCCATTATTGTTTATAATAGCTTTACTGTTTCTATGTAGTTTATTTGCTTCTTTAAAATATATGATAGGGTTGTATTTTGCTGTTCTTGGATGACTTAGTACTGGTACTTAGTTGCGTTATCAAGGGTATTGGTACATATTTGCACATTTAATCTAGGCTGAGTGTTTTGTGTTTCTCAAGTATATCTTACACAGCACTGGAAATCATTCTTTGGTGGAGTAAAAAGATGGAGCACACGTGGTTACTTAAGTGGATATTAATAGAATAATTGAGTGTTTAGTATCTTCATATTGGCTAAATCTAACAGCTCAAATGTTTGCATTTTTTGTTTTTTCTCTTTTTAGACCATTTTCTGAGCTCCTCTTCTATTTTCACCATTTCTAACAGAATCTCAGTAACTTTGTTCAGAGTCCCCCTAGTCTCTGTATATTACTAAAATAAATCAACCCAGTTCATGTCGATGCCTCCACATGTCTTCCAGTGACCAAGCCCACAGTTTTTTAATCTTTCTCTGTTTATAATACATAGCTACAGCCATCAAATGCATATTCAGTATGTGCTTTGAGGCATATGAATTTTAAAATGCAATAATCCATTACCAAAAGAAAAGGGTTTAGTTTAATGTACCCCTGAAAATAATTCCCTCTTTACCCCTTTTTGGCACAAACATTACATCATTGTGAAGTGCAGGTGCAGAGTCCTGAAGTCACTTTCTTTGGTTATTACAGAATGGCAGTCTATTAACTAAAGCCTGAAAATGGAGTATATTTCCTCTATTAGCCATTTATTAAGTCAACAGGCTAAGTAATGAATACATTCTTCTTTCTAGGGTGCAGCAGTTATATGCATTTAGCAATATTATTCCCGAACAGATGTGTCTTTTCAAAGTCTTCTTTCTTTCCTATGAGCATAGGATCTCTTCTTAATTGTATGATTGTAAACTGCAACAGCTTCAAATGGTGTTTCTGAACACACCACTGAGATTGCTCCATACAGACAGCCAAGTGGCATGAAAACCACAATATCATCAAGAACAGCCAGCTTCACAACAAGCACCCAATTAGTTCATATTCTTTAGCTAAATATACTTCGCAGCCAATGCAGTCATCTCCAGTGCTTTGATTTCAGAAGCTTGGAAATACCTGGGAGTTATTGAATGTGGCAGTATTAGAACTACAAAAAGATATGCAAGAAGCATTTCACAGTCAATCAGCAAACTGTAGAGTTTGACAGCAAGACACAAGGCTGTATCAAACTCCCTGCATGTTACTGTTTTCAGTAACTAAGCACATTACCCAACATTTCACTCAGCACTTCCCTTTATCAATATAAAGGAGCATTCACAAAGACAATATTGAAAGCACATTGGACAACCATTATTACTTTCATGATTCCCTCAATGCTACATGTTAACAAAGAAACCCTTGCTACTGTATTTTTGAAAGCATTGATGGAAGCCTGCAAACAAACTGATACCACTTTTTTTCCCCTCATATGAGAAGTATAATGAGCTCTTGTGTCACCTTCAAAATATGGTTAGGTTTTTTTTCCTGGAGTGGAGTTGCTGTGGGATCAAGTGACTGAAAAAGCAAGGAGAGGAAATGAAATGATTGCTCAGCAGGAACAGCGTGGAGCTGCTGTCCGGGCCAGCCTCTCAGCCCATAGCAAGGTCATGGAAATTCAGCTTGAGCCCAAGTGGTTCTTCAGCAGCAGACAGGGAACAGGCGTGATCCTGGCACCCGCCGGTGTTTGTCTGACAGCTGCATGTGCTTCAGCTAGTGCTCAGTAAGTGATCTGCTCGGTTACGCTGCAGAGGAGGGCTCGTCCTGCTATTTCCAACTGAGTCATGAGGTCAAGTAAAAACTCCACTGATGTCTTTAAATAGTCTTGGCTTAGCAAGCTAACGTGGGTGAGGATACTGGAGTGTGCCTGTTTGGGCCTGGCAGGGAGAGACAGGTCTCCAGTTGCTACTGGAGGGGACTTCAGCTGCCGCCCAGTGACACTGGTAAGATCTGTTCGCAATGGTTTGGCAGAGAGCTCGTGCGAAAACATGCTAATGAACTATAGTATCTGATGATAACAGCAGGAATTGGCTTTTGTCTTTTATGAGTGGGAAATTGACTTTGAAGTTTGTTTGGAAAAATCACCTGTCCTATTAATAAATGATATGGCCCTTTGCTGAGCAGTTCTTAGAAGATGGCAGCATCACACAAAACCTGCCTGTGCTCAGATCCACTGACCCAGCATCGGACTGCTCTCTCCCACATTGGGCACAGGGCGGAGGGGCAGGAATTAGGGTGCGATGGCTGCAGTGAATAAGGGTTTGACTGATATCTCCCAGTCCTGTTCTTTGGTTTCTGTTCTTTGTTTATTGAGACCTTGAGGCTCCGTCTAGTCTACACCTTCCAGTGTGTCACCCTTACTCCAGCCCATCACTTACATTTCTCTTGAGGGGAATCTTGTCTCACTGCACACTGCTGGAACCCATGTGGGTTTCTGTCCCTTTCACCACACTGTGAGCCCCTTGGTGGGAGGATCAGGGCTTTTCTCCTCTCAGGTTCCCAACCCACTAGTGAAGAAGAGAAGGTGCTAATTAATATAAGTTTAACTGAATTAAGCCAAGGTTATTAAGAAGTTAGACAAGTCTTGGCAACAAACCTAAATTCTGTCTTGAAATTATCAGCTATGTTCTGTAAACAAAAATGCCAAGACCTGAACAATTCGCTCTCCACTAATCCATTGGTGCTGCGTGTTCTCCACTGCCACCTCTTCATTCTAATTCTTTAACTCTCAATACACAGTGACAGCCCCTAAGACATTAGGGGCTCTTGGCTATTGTGACAGCAGTAAGACCCAATGACCCTTGTGGCAGAAAGTCTAAAATTGCTCACCCTGATGTCACATTTAATAGCTGTGTACTTTTATAATTAAAAACAAAACAAATTTAATATTTTACAGTATTTTGTCCAAAGAGCTTTTAAATGTCACTAAAGTCATTTTTAAATATCCATATGTGAAAGCCAAGTGGCAAATATTACCATCTCTATTGTTGGAAGGGTAATTACATTGCTTGTGTGGCTTGTCTATGCCTTACCTCCTTTTTCCTGCCCTTTGGCCATTGTTTTTCTCAATTACTATCCTGTCTCTGAGAGGGTGAATCCAGCCAAGGCGGAGAAGTGACATCAGAAAGGATGACGAGCATTGACTGGCATCTTTAGAAAAGCTCCGGGACATGACTGTGGTTGCAAGAGGACAGGGAAAAAGTTTGAAGCTGCACATTCAAATCGGTTTGTATTTACTATCTGAAAGCCATCATGCTGTCCCAGTCACTCACCACCACATGTAAACATAAAAAAACTTGATTGTTACTCTACAGTCATTTTAGAGACAATTTCCTCTAATTGTTCCCCCCAGAACTCGAGGGGGACAGCTCTGTCTGATTCCGTCATGGCCAAGAGAGCAGGGCTCCAACTTACTCTTTGGTCCCAAGTAGTGCTTGGTTCCAGCTGGGGCAGGAGCATGTGTTGCTGTTGCTACCTGGCTACAGGTTGCCAATTCAGAGACTGAAACCAGAAGTTGCCAATGCCTCATATCATACTTGGCATATATTTAGTAAATATTTAACTTTTGGATTCCACTGAATCAGACCTGCTGACCATTATTGCAAGGGTTGAATCACACTGCTCCTCAGGAAAATTAGAGCAATTATTTCTCTTTGGAGAAAACCAAAGTCCTGTTACCATTTATGTTTAGAATGAGATGAACACATTATGGGAGTTATTAGGAACATACAGAGGTAAAGCAAACCTCTACCTGGAATGGCTTTCAACTACGATTGAGCAAATATTAACACAAGCTTTGATCAACACAAGCAGTAAGAGGAGAAAGCTTAGACCAGAGAAGCACCCAGCTGACAGAGTGTCAGTCAGTTGTGCTTTTTGTCCTTCAGGTAGCTGACCAGTAAGTCCAGGCCCCCCTCCACCAGCTCTGGCAGAGGCTTAGATAACGGGTTGTGGGAAATGTGCAGCCCCTTGTCCATGGGATTCCAAGCAATCCTCACCAGTCTACACAGCCGGTAGAGTTCTTCCGGGAGGGTCTGGATGTCATTGTTGTTCAAGTTCAGCAGCTCCAGGCTGGTGAGGAGGCAGAGCGACCGCGGGAAGGAGTGGATGTTGTTGTTCTCCGCGATGAAGATCTGCAGGCTGCCCAGACACTGAATGCTCTCGGCGATGTTTTCCAGGCGATTGGAGCCCACGTGCAAGAAATCCAGCTCCTTCAGTGCAAACACGCAGATGGGGATGTGAGCAAAACAGTTGTTGCTGAGGTTCAGCTTCCTGAGCCTGGAGAGGTCGGCGAAGCTGGCGGGCAGCTGGGACAGGCGGTTGTGTGACAAGCTCAGGACCTCCAGGCTCCTGCAGGCGCCCAGCTCGGCCGGCACGTCGGTCAGGAAGTTCATGTCGAGGAACAGCACCTTCAGGCCCCTGAGGAGGCTGATTTCCTGTGGCAGGCTTTTCAGGTGGTTCCCGCACAAGTTCAGGACCACCAACCGGGTGAGCCTCCCCACCTCGGGGGGCAGAACCTTGACCTGGTTGTGAGACAGATTGAGTTTCTGGACCTCGGACAAGCCCCACAGAAAGTCGGGGATGTCCGTCATTCCCTTGGTGACCAGGCTGAAGCTGATGTGGCGCATGCCCCGCTTCAGCAGGGACCGGGGGTCCTTTCCCGAGAGCAGGGCGTCATCCCAAGGGGAGAATTTCTGCCTCCTCCGCAGAAACACGATCCCCCCGGGGCCCCGGTCCTTGGGAGCGGCGCTGGACTGCCTGGCCCCCATTGGCTTTCCTTTCCACCCTTTCTCCCCTGTTGCCCAGAGGTTGGGGTGAGTCCTACCCTAGCCGCTGGAAGCCTGGCTGCCCCAGGCAGGCAGGGCCGGCGGAGGCGAGGACAGGTCGGTGGCGGGCAGTCCGAGCGGAGGAAGCTCGCGGAGGGTTGGGGTCAGGTGTCCAAGACGCCCAGCCGCAGTGGGACAAGGAGAGAGCTCAGATGGTTTCTCTCTCGGCAGCCGGGCTGTAATGATATACTTGTCCCTGCGGCTGTGGAACTGACCTCTCGAATCCCTCTGCTCCAAGGCAGCTGTCACTGTCATTCTGCCTGGGTTTATAGGCTGGTGTGTGCACGCAGGTCACAGGGAGGCTTTACCTAACGCTCCCGTCAGCTTTCCTGGGGCACCACAGCTGAACAAGGTGATTAACAAGCCCACCTCCAAAAAGAAACAAAGTGAAAAAATAAGGCAGGCGTCCGGCTACATGGTTGCTGGAGCTCATCCTGACCCCAGAGCGGAGCTGGACTGAATCCTAGGGACAGAGTTTTTGTTTCCAAAGCGGAGGATTGACAGGCAATATTATACTCATTCATTTAAAACTTGGGTAAATTGTGTAGTTGTGAAAAATTAAGAGAAGTCTCCTGGACACCTGGAATCCTGCAGGCCGAAGGTTTTTACATGGTGCCTGTCAGAGGTGATTGATTCAGTGAGGAGAGAATGAAGGGCATCTGGACCCCCACTCCCATTTCAACCGGAGAAGCTTTGGGATCCTCTGTTTTACAGGGGGTTCTGAGTTTAGTGGGTGCACTTTAAATGTCTGAACAGCTTCTTAAGTGACTGCTTTAGTAAGGTAACCACTGGTGCCCACAGTTCTGAAAAAATAGCATGGAGAGACCTCCCTGTGCATACACTTTCTTCCCCTCCCTCCTCCTCTCCCCTCCACCTACTCGCCCCCTTGAAAGTGTTAACTTATACCCTAAGTAAATAGAGTTAATAGTTGGTGTTGTGGGCTGAATTTAGCCTCATCTAAATTTCAGATGTTGAAATCCTAACCCCCAGCACCTCGGAATGTGACTATTTGGAGATTGGGACAGGGGAGAACACGGAGAAAACTGCCATCTGCAAGCCAAGAGAAGTCTCAGAAGCAACCAACCCTACTGACACCTTGATCTTGAATGCAAGTTGTGAGAAAACAAATTTCTGTTCTTTAAACCACCCAGTCTGGGGTGCTTTGTCCCAGAAGCCCTGATACAGCTGGGGAGGAGGCAGACACATGGTATAGGTAAAAAAAAGTTATCAAAATAGACCCTGGCCAGTTTTGCTTAGTGATTAGAGCAGCGGCCTGCAGACCAAAGAGTTGAGGTTTCAATTCCAATCAAGGCAGGTACCTTGGTTGCAGTTCAATCCCTGGCCCTAGTTGGGCTCGTATGGGAGGCAACCAATCAATATGTCTTTCTCACATTGATGTTTCTCACTCTCTCTCCCTCTCTCCTCCCTCCACTCTGAGAATCAATGGAAAAAGTATCCTCGAGTGAGGATTAAAAACAAAAAATGTTATCAAAATGGGCAGTGATTAAGGAGAGAAGCAATATCAGGGCTGATGACCCAGTTCTGAGACAAGGGCTTGCAATCTGTAGGGAGGGCTGGTTTGGCTGGGAAGCATGTGACATTTGCTGACAGCAGCCATGTGCACAGCCCCTGGCATAGCAGTTGTGTGTCCTGGAGAGTGAAGCTGGTCCTATGACCATGGTCTCAGAGTGTAATCACCAAGCCAGGAGCTTGAGCTGGGCCCTGACCTGGCGCTGCCTGGGGAATCTGTGGGCCCATTCACCGAGCGGCCAGTGTCTGGGCAGGAGCAGCGGCGGGAGGTGTGAAGCACTGCAAGGCCATTCCTCACTCCACTTGGCATTTGAAAGAGCTCTGACCCCTTTCAGCTGAGTAAGCTCCTGGGAATCTTGACAAAGGTGGAGACTTTAAATTTTGAATGGAATACTTGAATGTTCTGTTAATGGGGGGGGGGGGGGGTGATGTAGCTAAATCTGTACCCTAAGTTTTTGGAGTAAACCATGCATGTAACAGTAGGGTTCTTCTATTTTATAAAAAGTTGGCTATGCTTCATTCCCTCTGTTCTTTCACGAGCATGAGAAAGTATGGTGGAGTTCCTGGGATGTGGGAAACTGCAGGAGCTGGAATGGTCCGAACAAGAATCAGCAGCTTTCTTCTTTGTGGCCATTCTCTCTTTTCCTCTTAGCACACTTTCTCCAGTAATAACTTTTTGAGCACTTATCAACAGCCAACATTTATTGAATGTTTACTATGTGAAAGGCATTGCACAAAGCACTTTACATGCAGGATAGAAGTATTAAAATTATCTTTAGTTTACAGATAAGGAAAGAAAGATAGGAAGAGGTCAAGTAACTCATGCAAGATCAAGTCACTTGCTCTTGTTCAAGTATCTATCTATCTAGTTAATAGCAGAAACATAATTCAAACCCAATCAGTCAGGCTCACAGCCTGTTAGAACCATAAGAAGACTCTGGGCTTAGCCCTGTAGAACAAGGGAATAACTATGGCTAGATTATGCCTTATTTTTTCCAAGTTGCTAAAGACTAGGTCCGGAGAGAACATAGGTAAAGAAATGACTGCATAACTGCATGCATAGAAATAACTACATAATTAGGCATTAACCCTGCTTTCTCTACCCCATCACAACTAGTAAAAGCAAAAGTTAACATATCATTCCAGAAGACTTTGACGTAATGGATTTAATCCCCTCCAAAAATAGTTCAGTTCTTCTCTATCAAGGTTCTCATATGTCAAATGGCTGAGCTGTGTGAATAGCTGACTTTATTTCTTCTAGTTTTTTGAAATGTAGATCCTGCCCACTTAGTTACCATGGTTATGCAGTCAGAGCTTGGGTCACCTAGAGAACGGTCATGGTCTCTCAGTCCCTGTCCTCATCTATGAAACAGGCCTTGCAGGGGGGTGATTTCCCAGAGCCCCTCCTCTCTCTGAGTTGGACTCTCACCACACATGAGACCACTTAGGGAAGTGTAAGTCACATCCAACCTCTGCTCTGGTGAAAGCACAAGTCCGAGGCAGTGTCTGTTTTGCTTACATTGATGTTGGTCCCTGGGGAATAAACAGTAACAGGCTCCCTTTTTCCCACCCTCCCTCCCGTCCTTCCATCTTCTCTTCCTTTTTAAATAAACTTTTTATTTAAAACACAAAACAAAATAGTAACAGAGAATGCTGTTGGTCTTAGGATTCACTGTGGAGACCACACATCCAACTTTTGCCAAGAGAGACTTTTCAAGACTCTCTGAGTGGATTTAGTTTGGAATAAGTATCAGAATGGGGCATTGTTGGACAAAGTTTTGAAATTCTAGGGCATGGTAAGTAATGTGGCTGTCCTTAACATGTAAGAAAGATATATAATAATTGAAATGTATTTAGTATGCTTGATGTATTTGCTACATTTCTGTGTATTTCAATAGATTATTCCAATATATAGAAATCAACATTTATTATTTTTTTTATCTTAAATAAAACTAAAATGGTGAGACTATAAAATAGTAGCTTATAAATGCTATTCCAAAGCTTCTTCTGAATTCACACTAATATAATATCTATTGCAAATTATTCCTCTTATTCCCATAATGGCTTTTCAGCTGAACAGACATGCCATGTCTGTTAATTTTGAAAGAAAGAAATGTGTATGTTTAAGAAATTTATTAAAATAACCATTTTACTGATTTAAAATTTAAAAAATATAGAAAAGCAAGAAGAGATAATCCAGTTAGTGTGTTTTGTATGTAAATCTAAATATTTTCTCCATGCACATCTTCTTCAATGTATTTTCTTTCACACACACACACACTTTTTTTTTCATTTGTCTTAGCCCAGGTTTCCTCAAAAGCAGAGCTTGAGGCCAAAGTACAGTCCAGGCAAGCAAAAGTAAGGGGTGCTGGGAAGTCAGACGCGGAGGGAGACGGGCAGAGCCGTGCACTCGGAGCCGGCCCCACCTTCGCAGGAAGCTCAGCCTTCTACTAGGCTTCACAGACATCTGCGGAGAGGCTCTGTTAGACGACCGCATCTCAGAACAGCCCAGGGTTAAGCATCTATAAAATGCATGTACTGATGAAATCCAAAGTATATAACAAAATTTTCTAATCCATAGTTACTGATGGTATGTGATGCACAGTACAGTGATGGTCCATGTAAAAGTTCAGTAAATGATAGCTTTTACCTAAATGGTAGGTATTATACACAAATACCCCACATGCCTCTGTATTCATTTACTGAACAGTCTCCATGAGTTTGATTTTATTTTGTCCTTGTTCATGAACTTTGCACTCTCTTCAGGGCCAGTCAATGCTGCACCTGTGAAGCATCTCTTATTCATCTTTCACTCACCTTACATTTACAGAGTATTTACTCCGTGTCAAAGGCTGTTTTAGACACTGTTATATGGTCTATATAATTTTTAGAAGACTTGTGAGGTTAATATTGTCAACTTCATGTTAAATATGGTGAAGGCACCTGGCAGGCATGGCTCACTGCTTGAGTGTTGACTCATGCACCAAAAAATTGCCGGTTCAATTCCCAGTCAGGGCACATGCCCAGGTTGTGGGCCTGATCCCCAGTGGGGACATGCCAGAGGCGGCCAATCTATGTTCTCTCTCATCGATGTTTCTATATTTATCTCTATCTCTCTCCTTTCCTCTCTCTCTAAAATGAAAATAGAAAAAAATATTGAAATAAATAAATAAATATGGGTACTTCTTACTTCCGGTCAAGATGGCGGCGTAGGTAAAAGAGGTATCACATCCTCCCAAAGCCACATCGAAGTTACTACTAAACTACAGAAAAAACATCATTCAGAACCGCCTGAAATCAAGCTGAATGGAAGTCCTACAACTATGGAATTAAAGAAGCAGCTACATCAAGACTGGTAGAAGGGGCAGAGGCAGATGGGCTGGTCCCACACCCACATGTGGCGGATAAAAATCAGGAGGACACCTCGGCTGGGAAGGTCCTCCCTGAGGACTGAGGAGTCCTTGTTGCACACCAGGCACCCTGATCAGGGATCCAGAGCCAGGAAGAGAATCCCCATCACTTCTGGCTGGAAAAACCAGCGGGAACTGAGGCTCAGGGAGGCTAAGGTGGCTGGAGCCCCAGGCAACTCCTC